ATCAAATGACAACACATGTCTATGATCAGGAAACTTAACCATCTTTGATTAACGAGCTAGTCAAGTAGAGGCATACAAGCGACACTTTGTTTCGTCTATATATTCACACATGTATCAAGTTTCCGGTTAATACAATTCTAGCATGAATAATAAACATTTATCATGATATAAGAAAATATAAATAACAACTTTATTATTGCCTCTAGGGCATATTTCCTTCAATTGGTTCGTTGAAATCACCCATCGTTATCTATGAAGATAATGCTGCTTGTATTGCACACATGCAAACGGGTTATGTTAAGAGCAATATTACAAAGCATATTTCTCCTAAATTATTTTATCCCCATGATCTGCAAGAAAAGGGGGAGATAAATATTTTGCAAACGAAGTCATGCGACAATCTCGCTGATCTATTTACTAAGTCCTTACCAAGTTCTTCTCTCGCAGATATGTAACTGGAATTGGTATGAGACTACTTCAAGACTTACAAAAGTCAGGGGGAGAAATCTCCTAAGAATAACTTGTTAAGATCATGAGATCTTTAGTATTGCACTCTTTTCCTTTTTGAGTTTTTTCAAATGGTTTCACATGTAAGGTTTTTTTTAACATAGTACAGACGCAAGCGCTCATACACACACGCATACACTCACCCATATGAATGCACACACGCACACCCTACCTCTATGAGCACCTTCGAGATACTGAGCCAACATATCATCTTGAGATTTACAAAGTCACCGTAGGCGCCTCATCATCGACTGGAATGTCTCCTCCCACTGAAAGTGCATCGCCGGAAATCCAGAAATAATGTGAGGCAATATCGGTGCAAGCATGGACGATATATACCATTTTCTCCTTAATTTCCCATTGAGTTTTAGAAGGAGTTTTTCATGGCATATTGTATATTTTCTTCTCGATTTTTTCCACAGGATTTTGAAGGAGAATATTTCAGGGATGGTCAGTCTCAAAGACAAGCAAGGATTAGGAGGGAGTGTTAGGGTTTAAACTAATTCTATAATTAGGGGTAATCCTTCCTTTGTGTAAATTCTCGTCGGTTTGGGAACTGCGAAACCCACCCGTGCTTTTTTTTAACTCTCAAACTCTTTCTCGCGCCGACTGACATATGGGCCCTAGAGGACGTGGCCATGTTGACATGTGTCATCCACAGTAATCCGCGATGTGTATACAACCGGTCGAGCCAGGACTGTCGTTCCAGGTATCAGGGCCGTATATGGCACGTATTTTCATGTATCAAAACTGTATTGAAGCACTTTTCAACCATATGAGGATCATGTTGGACCTAGCCTGCGGCTACGAAAATGATAGGTGCAATTATCTCTCCGTGTAGCTCAACCTCGAATCGCTTGTCCTGGGCAGCCGTGGTCTCGGCCAGATTCAGAGGTCTAAATAAGCATTACCGTGCAGTTTATGAACACTTTCGGTTTGTAGTTCTGTTCCCGTCTGGTATATTCAGAAATGGCATAGCTTTCATCAGTTTGGTAGTTCCGTTCCCGGCGGATACATTCAGAAACGACATTCACCAGAAACCATGCCTTGCCGGTGTTTATAGCATTATAAAACGTACTACATCAGAACATGCGTGCCATTTAACGAGAAAGGTGAAAACGTGGACGGGCATTATGCTCATTAGGACATGAAACATGCAGACCACCCCGATTATACTTTCCGCTATCTTTTCCTCATCTTGACAGTTATCATTTGCCTACAGGATTCTCCTAGGAAGTGTGACGAACTACGTGTTGTCGAACGCATCTTGCCCTGTGACCGTCGTCAGGGGAAAATAGTCAGTGGCCTTCCAGATATAAGAATATTTAAACCTTAGCCACTTAAGTATCGCACTGTAATTTCTTTTCAAGTTATAGTATCGCACTGTACCTTCATTTGTTGTTTGTGGACTAGACTAAATCCTGGATGTCTGTTTCCAGTCTTGCCAAGTTACCTCTAATTTGCCTGGTTTCTGAACATGATAACTGTATTCGCTCGCAGATTACTGACAGTCTGACACAGTGATGAGACACCCACAGTTTCCCTCGAATACACACACGATCGGTCGAAAGTTAAAAGGAAATAAAAACACAAACCTACCGTAAAATCCGTAAGAGCAACTCCAACAGGTCGACCCAAACGAACGGCGTATTTGTCCGTTTTTTATTCATTTGGATTGACCGCCCGCCCGACGTCCGTCCAGTTTTGCATTTGGGTCGGCAGTGTGTCCAATACGCCGACCTATTGTATGTCCGCATCCAACTTTTAAATAAAAAAGACTCGCGGCCAATCATGCCAGCGGCCATGTCTCATGCCGGCGCCATATCAGCGCCGGTATACAATGCCGGCTTCAGAAAACATCACCACAGTTCATGCTGGCGCACTCGCCAGCCAGCCGCGCACATGCCAGCATACAAAAAAAGATGGGGCTTGAGTTCGACCACGCCATCGCGGCTCCCGTGGTCATGCCGGCACAGTTGCTGGCATACAAAAAAGATGGCACTCGCCGCCATAGACCACTCGTCGTCGAACTTGAGCATGTCGGCCTGCATCTTCTCGAACCACAGCCTCTTCCTTGGCGACACGGTGTTGAGATCCACCTTCATGATTTCCACCCCTGTCATCATGCTCGCGAGAGCCACTTCTTTCGCCTTGGTCTTGGCGTTGGCGACCTCGATCTCTAGCATCTTGGCTTGCTTCTCCGCCTCGAGCTTGAACATCTTGGCTTGCTTCTCGCCGTCTAGATCAAGCCTCCTCCTTTGGATCTCCATGAAAAATCATCCATTTGCTCCGCCTTGAAACGACGGCGCTCCTTCTCCCTTGAGTCCTTCTTATTCATCATGTCGTCCACGCTAGCAATCAAGGCGTTGGTGGACGCATCTCGCTTGTCCTCCTTCTTGAAGTTGGTCTTCCCCCGCGGCCGTGCCGGATCGCCCTCCCCAACATCCTCCACGGCTTTCTTCCCCCCACGTGCCTTGAGTGCGGCATATTGCGCCTTGGACTTCTCCTCGTCCTTGATGACCCAGTAGTAATGGGAGAGGTTAAAGCACTTGCCATCGTGCTTAACCTTGAATGTCTCCAAAGCTTGAAATGCCTACAAAATGTTTCCATGCAAGCATATGGGCAAGTGATATGCAAATGAACATGCAAAGGATGAACTTGATGACACAAAAGAGGGCGGCTTGCTTGCTAGCATACCATGTCTTGCATGCCGATGCCGCTCATGGGGTGGGCCTTGACGCTCTCAAGAGTGGCGCAAAACTTATTGCACTCTTGTTGGATCACCCTCCACCGCTTGGAAATGGAGACCCATCCGCGCGTGCTCACAAATTGGTAAGGTGGAAACCTCTTGCGCTCATGAAACTCTCGGTGGATACGAATCCAAAAGGTTGAATGCTTTTGCTCGGCACCCGTCTTGGGGTCTTGTCCAATGTCTCGCCAACACTCGCAAAGAAGTTTGTCCTCGGCCGCTGTGTACGCCTTCGTGCACTTACTCTTGCGCTTCGGCTTAGGACCGGCGGCTTGGTTGGCGAGCTCGTCCTCGAACAAAGGCTCCACTTCGATGGCGCACTCGTCCTCTTGCTCTAGCCCGTAGTCGTCCGGAAACTCGTGGTCGAGGGGGAAGCCGTCCAGGTCGATGCCGACCTGATCACGCATGAAGGCCGCCTGATTAGGATCATACCCAGGGGCCGGCGTGAACGCCCCGCGGCCGTCCTGGCTTTGTGTATCGTCGGGATCGTAGCCAGCGGCCGGCGCACCGCCCTCAGAGATGAGGTTCTGCATGTAGTCCTCGTCGACGGCGGACGACATTTCCTCGAATAGGTTGCGGGCGTCCGGGAGCCCGTCGGTCGGCGTCTACTACGCACGTTTCCTCGTGCCGCCGGATGACGAGCCACCGACCACCGGGGTGGCGTTGAGGTCGATGGGCGCGGGCGCGGGCGTGGAAGGCGCGACCACGCTCACGTCGAGCGAGCACTCCCCAGAGAGGCGGGAGTCCTACGGGTAGACGTGGAAGTCGGGGATTCGGGTTGCAAGTCGACGCGCGGGGCGAATCGAGCAACACCATCCGAGGAAACGCCGACGAGCCAGTGCTGGCCGCGGCGACGACGGCTTGGACGAGGCCGTGCTGGCTAGGGTTTAAACCTAACATGTAGAGCGCCTCCCTTGTTGCCGCTGCGTCGCGGGCGTTGGTGATCTCCTGTTGCGCGGCGGCGACGATGGAGGCCTGCGCGGCGGCCTCACCCCTCGCGTCCGCGGCGTGTCTCCGGCCCTTCCTCTTGGCCGACTCCCTTGCCCGCTCTTCGAGCGTCAGCGTATTCTTCGGCTTGGTCGCGGCGGCGGTCTTGCGCGGGGCACGAGGCTTGCCTTTCCCGGAGGGGACGGCGGCGTCGGACGAGGCGAGGCCGGCGGCGGTGTCGAGGTCGATGGCGTACTCCATGGCTGGTTGGGGGCAGGAGCGCGCACGAGCAGGAGTGTTTCTGAGGAAAATGATGGTGGTCCCCACCGACCGGCGGGCCTGGGAAGAGGAGTAGGCGCGCGGGTCCGTCTCGTATCCACGTCGACGCAAATACGGTTCAAAAATGGGTCGGGAATGGGTTGTCCGCGGATGAAAAACGGACGCACGTCCGTTTGGATCGGCGCATTGGGCCGACTTTTCTGTCCGCGCCGGCCCTAACGTACGGCAGCGGACGAAATGGGTCGCCCGATTGAAGTTGCTCTAATAGACAGAATTACTATACAGTGGTACTCCATGAGAATTCATCTTAACCGGCCGAAAGAAAACCATCCGACCGAAAAATAATCACCGTTTCATAGCTCTTTATTACTGAGACGAAAGCGGAAGCTCAGCAACACGCACGAAGAAAACATAATCATGCATCCTCGGAGCATCCTAGTTTCACTAAACCAAGCTCGAACACTCGAGTACATAAGAAAAGCAGAGAGAGAGAACAAAGGCACCATGAAGCACACATAGTAAGTAAGATAAGGTAAGATCAGACGTAGAGATGAGCCTGCAAGATGACGACGAAGAGCATGAGCAGCACGGGGTAGATGACGGCGTGGACGAGGATGGACAGGCAGCTGGTCCTGAGGTTCATGAAGTCGACCGTCCGCTGCCGGCCGGGCAGCTGCAGGATCCCTCCCGGGCACAGCAGGGCGAACAGCGCCGTCGCTATGATCGCCGGCGCCCAGTCGTGCATCGCGCCACGGAGCTTCGAGAGAGAGGAACAGGGGAGCTGAGGAAGAGGGTGACACGGTACGAAAATATGATATTGTGCCGGGGGATAAGGAAGACGAGAGGAAAGGCAGGGCATCGGATGCCGAGCGCAAATACTCTACCATGGTGGCGAGGGAATCACTGGGCTGATTGATTGAAAGGGCGCCGTCATGATATGATCGGCGCCTTTGGGCGTCGAAACGTGGCTTTTGGAAGCGGATTAGGTGTGAGCTTAGTACTCCTGTCGAGTCTGTGCAAGCACAGTGCAGGAGTACTCGCACAGTGGTAGTCTGCTGGAACTGTGTGATTGGAAGAGACAGCCGAACGGATTAACGGGATCAATTTTGCTGGGATGAAGAGGACTTCTGCCATTCAGCACGCGTCACGTGTTGAGACAGGATTTTAGCATCCTCCCGCAAAAGCTATGTTTGATTATTGCGACAGCTATACTCCGAGAGCAACTAATCCAGGAGCACTCCTTCGGAGCCTCCCCAAGAATTGGAATGCTCTCAGCTACCACCACGTGTCGCCTTTTTATTAATTTTTTTCTAGATGTTTTTTTTGATTTTTTAGACTTTTCGGTTTTTTATGGGTTTATCTTTGATTTTTGACAAAAAAATCGTAATTTTTTTTGCACAAAATACGTGATTTTTTTCTTTGGGAGACACGGTTTTGCTTCCGCGAGAGGCATGGCAGTGCCTCTCGGAAATGAAAAAAACGTGTTTTTTTTCGCTTCCGAGAGAGGCACGGCTTTGCTTCCGTGAGAGGCACGCCTCTTGAAAAAGAAAAAATAGCGCATATTTTTCGCGAGAGGCACAGTTTTGCTTTCGTAAGAAACAAAAAAAATGTGTTTTCTTTTTTTTTCCCATGACAGACACGGTTTTGCTTCCGTAAGAGGCACGGTCGTACCTCTTGGAAACGGCTCCGAAAAGGATAAAAACCGTGCTCCTGATTCGATTTTTCATTCATTTTTTTTTGAAAAAAATTCATCAAAACCTATCAACATGGATCTAATTTTGAAGATCTAGACGCGAGAAATCCAACAGGCAAAGTGGTTTGAGATTTGGATGCACGATTTCAGAGATAAAACGTTTTCAATAATAATCTACGAAAAAGAAAAAACTCACAGGTTGCGACAAGTGGTGCACATACAGCGTGACACTTGTCACAACCTGGAAAGGAGGAAGTGGTCTTTGAAAAGAGTACTTCGCAATTAGTAATTTTGTTATACTCATCTCGCCTCTGGTGGTTCCTCCAGTAGGTCGGTCCAATAACACGTGTTTACGTGGTTTTGTTTCGTGGGAGCGGTTTGAGAAGGTTCTATGGATCCCTATGAACCGGTTTTACAAGCTTCCGCGTGGTTTTTTCTTATTTGTTTCTTGTGTGTTTCCTCTAATAGTGTTCATAGGTATTTTCAGATTTTGTTTCTGTCAATTTTTTTTCAAACACATGTCCATATTTTTCAAATACACATTGAATATTTTTCAGATACACGTTAAACATTTTACAAATACACATTCAATATTTATCTTAAGACATGTTTAGCATTTGTGAAATGCACAATGAATATTTTTAATACACACCAAACATTTATAAAGACACATTTGAACATTTTTCAAAATTTTCAAAAACATTTTTAAAAACAAGCAAACATTTCTAGAGTGTTAGAACATCTTTCTAACTGGCAGAAACACTTTTTATATGTATGGATTCTTTATAAATTGCACGATTTATCTATATTCTATGAACGCTTTTAAAATATCATGGGACACATTTTTTACGCGAAAACTTTCGATCTATTTATATTCAATCATGGCAGTACAACAAACATCATAAATAATAAAAATTACATCCAGATCCATAGATCACCTAGCGACGATTATAAGCACTGAAGCAAGCCGAAGGCATGCCGCTGTCGTCGCCCCTCCCTCGCTAGAGTCAGACAACACTTGTTGTAGTAGACAGTCAAAAAGTCGTCATGCTACGATTCTATAGGACCAGCTCATCAGAACAGCAACCGCCGCTGTTGAAGAGTAGCGTAGATCGGGAGGATCCAACCTGAAGAGAAACGAACGTAAACGCACTATGACCAGATCCAAGCAAATCCATGAAGAACAGATCCGCGAGAGACAAATCACTACACGTCCACCGACGATACTAGACGCACCACCAGGACGGGGGCTAGGTGGGGAGAACCTTATTCCATCCTCAGAGAGCCGCCACTGTCTCGTCTTCCTGAGCAGGACACAAACCCTAACAAATCTCGATGAAACATATAAAAACGAAAGCCCTCCCATCGGTAAAGGTCGGGATCCACCGTGTCGCCATGACCCTAAGGCCACCGAAGACGAGACGAACCAATGGCGCCGCCGATGGGAGGCAGAGGAACCCTAGATTTGTTAGGGGAGGAGGCGACGGCAGACATATTTTGAAAGACGCAAACAATCTTTAGATGTCATGAACAATTATTTGAATGGTCCACACATTTTCAATAAATGACATGAGCGAACCAACCTGTGGTTGGATGGTTAGAGGGACACTGGTATCCCCAGCCCACCAGGGTTGAAGTCCTGCTGCTTGCATTATTTATTTCAGAATTCCTGTCGACGACAAGGCGCCTACGATGACTTCGTACATCTCAAGATGATATGCCGGCTCAGTCTCTCGGAGGTGCTCATAGGGGTAGGGTGTGCGTGTGTGCATTCATAGGGGTGAGTGTATGTGTGTGTATATGAGCGCTTGTGTCTGTACCGATATTCAAAAAAATGACATGAATTATTTTTTCCATTTTCATGAACATTGGAAAAAAGACATGATCATATTTTTCAACGTGTCTACATATTTTTTTCAATGGTATGGATGCTTTTTAAAACTGTACAAGTAATTTTTCACATTACATGCACATTTTTAATACATGGTGAACTTTTTTTAATAGTAAATAGTTATGAAATATAGTTTTTTGCAATATTTTAAAATATAAACAAAAGTAAAGAAATATTTTTTAATAATAACAAAACTAACGCACGTAATACACGCTAGGCTAGCCCACTACATTTTTGAACATCAATATAGACACAAACGCTCATATACACGCGCATACACTCATCCCTATGAACGCATACACGCATACCCTACCTCTATGAGCACCTTCGAAAGACTGAGCCGACATATCATCTTGAGATTTACGACGTCACCGTAGGCGCGTCGTCGTCGACGGGAACGTCTCCTCCCACTGAATGCGCATCGCCGGAAATCCTGAAATAAATATAAAAATAAATGCGAGCACCAGGATTTAAACCTTGATGGACTGGGGATACCACAGTCCCTCTAACCATCCAACCACAAGTTGGTTCGCGGCTAGCCCACTACATGGTCTCCCCGAGGTGAGGCTCTTAGTGTATCTCGCAATAGGCACCCTCCAAAATACAGTATTCATGAAAATCATATAAAAAACAATATTTATGAAAACAAATCGGGTGCGAGATACAGATGCACCCGAATCCTGCTGACGCTGGCGTAGGGCAACGGGGGAACCCCAAACATCCCCCACCCCCACACACACACACGCGCGCACGCGCTTTTGTTATTTTTCTTTAGTTGTTCTTTTTTCCTTTTTTTAAGAAACTTTTTGAAATGTCCACGAAAAATTGACATGTTCACAAACTTTAGAAAATGTCCATGAAATTCAAAAAATATTCACAAATTTATAATTGTTTACGGATTTAAAAAATGGTTGTGAATTTCAAAGTTATTTCTTTATTATAAAAAAAATCCTTACTTCAAAAATTCATGATTTTGAAAAATATTCTGTATTTCAAAAAATGTTCATGATTTTAAAAAATAACGTATTTGAAAAAGCTTCACTGATCTCAAAATGTGTTCCCAATTTCAAGAATAAATCACTAATTCATAAAATTATGAAAATTGGGAATGGACTTCAATAAAAGTTTTTTATAAAATTATATTTAAATTTTAAAAATGGATAACATAAAATAATAAAAAATGTAAATGAAAAACCCCGAAAGAACCAGCAGTAAAGAAACACAAAAGAATAAGAATGGCCCATGTGTGCGTGTAAACAGTCCACCAATCGCACATACCTGTACCTTGAACGCCAGCCCGCTTCGGGGGAGCGATTTCCCTCTCGATACTTTTCTTCCGAGACAGGTTTTCTCCACGTTTCTGGGGGCACGCTACGTGTCAGTCGGTGGATCTTTTTTAAAGATCCGCCGCCTCGCCAGCCATTAGATCTTGTGCCAACCCAGCCTCGTCCTTATAATTGCAACAATGACTGTGTTACAGAACCTAATGCAACAGAGGCATGTTGCAGAAACTTCCGCAATAGAACTCATGCTGCAAAAACTTCTGCAACAGAGGTCCTATTGCAGATTTTTTTCTTTGCAACAGAGGTCTTGTTGCGGATTTTTTTTTTGAACAATTTTTCTTTTTACAGATTTTTTTTGCAACATAGGTCCTGTTGTAGAACCTCATTGCAATGCAATACTTGTGGCAAAGCACTTCACGGCAGCAACACATGATGCTTTCTGACTCTTTTTTTTTTTTGAGGATCTATGATTTCTGACTCTAGAGGAATAGATTAAGTGTACGCCCAGGAAGACACCTGGCAAATGGAGCAGGCGGTGGATGCAGCCGAGCGATCCACCGGCTGATTGTTAGTGTTTTCCTTTCTCCAAACAATATGGCTGCTGGATTTTCCTTTGCAGATTTAAAAAATCAATTCATGCAGTAGTAAAAAATATCATAATTTTAAAAATATTTCTGAATTAAGCAAAATCTTCAGGGATTTTAAAAAATGCTCACAAATTTGTAAAAATGGCCAGATTTTACAAAATCAAGAATTTATGAAATGTTCTTGAATTTTTAAAAATATCAATAATTTAATACTTTTCCTTGGATTCATGAAATATTCATGTGCTTTAAAATTTTGATGAATTTTAAAACATGTTCATTTCTGGAAACATG